CAAGATTACACTGTATGGCACAGGGAAATATACACAAAATGTTATGATAAATCACAGAGAAAAAAAATGTGACAATGAGTGTGTATATGTCCATGAATGACTGAAAAATTGTGCTGAACACTGGAATTTGACACAACATTGTAAAATGATTATAAATCAATAAAAAATGTTAAAAAAAATCAAGTCTCTGTGGCAATATTATGCAAGGAAAGAGGCAGTTCAGTACAGACTCCTCCAACCTCAATACCCATGGGGACAGTCTCTCTGCTCACGCTGGGGCCTCCCCAAAACCTTTTTTGATCAATAACATTGAAAGACTCAATGGACAAGTCATTGTACAGCCTCTTTTTTCACCTTCAAGTTCTTCCTTGTTTATATAAGAAAATGGCCTCATTCTTAGGAAATACTGAAATGCTTAAGGGTAAAGGGCTATGATGTATGTGACTGGCCTGTAGAAAAAGTGTGTGTCTCTATTTCTACCTAAATACATGCACAAAATGTATATGTACATATCCACACACACCTCTTTGTGTGTATACATATTTGTGTGTGTGTGTTCGTGTACAGTGAGAGGGGAACAAGAGCAAATGATAGAGCAAATGGGGCTATATGCGACCAATAGGTAACTCTAGGTAAGAGAATTTGGTAGCCTTTGAACTATTTTTACAACTTATCTGTAGGTTTGAGATTATATCCACGTTTTAAATAGTTTGAAACTTAAAAAAATACTAAAAAGTTTTATAATTTTAAGTTCTTTCCCTTTTCTTCTCCATATTGGCTTCTTGCTAGAGACCCTTATAATTATCCAGCAGACCCACTGGGTAAAAGTGTCCGTGAGGGTAGCCCCACTCTGCCAGAAGGCAACAACCCCACTGATGCGTTTAATCAGGTTGAAAATTCTCCTGGGAGAAATCAAAGACACAGACGTGTCTACAACAGCTCCTCCCATGGTGTGCTGGTGATTAGAGTATATGCTGGGGCTGGAGACGGGACTCTGCTCAGCGAATGCCTAACTAGCTCTAGCTAATTTATTCCTCTCTTCCCTTAAAATACTACAACCAAGGGTATTACATTTTTAAAAATGTGTCTAATGTGTCTCAAACCACCTCAAAATATATGAGAAAACAAACTATATGAGAAAAAAAATCTCTAAATTAATGCCTCTCTCTCTCCCTCTTTTTTTTTTTGGTGTCCAATACAAGAGAAAACAACAGGATCAATCTCTTATTACAACAGAAACTCTTTGAATATAAGACTACACCTGAATCATTACTGTTTCTCCTCTATTCCCCCAAGAAACAGAATTGTGGGATGCAACTGAATGAAGATATGATTGAACAAATGGGCAGCACCTGGGACAAAGTTCTACCCTTTATCAATTCCCTACCTTTAAGAATGCGTTTTTGAGCAGAGGCATTTTTATCTATGAGTTCTCTCTATACATTTATATTCTCCTTTTCTCTTCGCTTATTTAGAATTCCATATTTCAATTTTGTTAAGAATTCCATAAAGAAAAAAGGTGAGGGACAAACCAGAAGAAATTTTTCACATATATAACTAAATAGGATTAATATCCAGAATATAGGAATCATTCCTACAAACCAATTTGAATTAGTAAAACAATTCAAAAGAAGAATCATCAACAAACTGGAACAGGCAGTTCCACAGATGAGAAAGCACAAATGGTCAAACACTGTGCAAAGATGCTCAAGTCATTAGTGAATGGAAAATACAAGTTAAAACCACAGATATGTCATAAACACCAGATTGGCAAAAATTCCAAACCTGACAATATCAAGTGCTGGCAAAGCTGTAGAACAATGGCACTCTCGTTTCCTGCTGAAGGGAGTGAACACTGGAAAAACCACTTTGGAACATAATGTGGCATCAGAGACTAGAGTTGAAGGTATACACACCCTATGACCCAACAATTCTACTGTTGGGTGTACACTGAGAAGCTCCAGCACAGATGCAGTGCGGAGTGTGTTCATAACAATACTTTTATGATGGAAGCCATCCAAAGTCAGCCAACAGCACGGTGGACTGACAACTTGACGCATTTCATAATAGAACACTATCCACCATGAAAGAGGAACAAACAACAGTTGTGTGCATCAGCAAACTGACACTCAGGAACATCATGTTGGGAAAAAAAGCAAATTACAGAATACATACATTATGACTCCACTAATAGAAAGTTCATAAAAGATTTGTCTTTAGGGACAGAAACATAGGTGGTAAAACTATAAAGATCAGTAATGAAATGATACACAAAAATACAAGAAAGTGGTTATCTCTGTTTAGGGCAGAAAAGAGAAATGATCAGGCAAGACATGTGGACCTTCAATGGAAATGCTAAAGGCCTATTTCTTAAAAGAGGGAGTGGACATACATTCATTGTATTGTTACTCTTGACACTGCACACATTTTACAAGTATTCTTTTGTGTATAACCAATATTTAATAAAAATGACTCTTAAGAATTGGTGAATAAGCAGATGATCAAAAATATTTCATCCAAGACTTGTTGGAAGAACAGAAGCAAGTGCCACAACTTGCCAGCCGTGAGACTCCGGCAGTCTTTCCTTCCAAACATGGTCTGTTTGTCTCTGGTCCCTTCTTAATCATTCAGTCCAAACTAACCATCACTCAGAGCTATGCCCTGTCCCAGGATGGAGGAAAGTTTCATGATATTCATCAGAAGCAGGAGCCAAGCTTTCCCGTCTGCCATTCTTCCCCTCATTAAAATGCAGGCCTCCTCCAGGCGTGAAGGACAAGCACATTACCCTGTTCAGGCATGTGCACACACACATCACATCCAACTCCGCAGCCTGACTGGGTTATTATTATATCCAAATACTACTGAACTATGATTAGCTAATCCTTGACTGTGCCTTATTCTCATTTGTTTGGTATACATTTTATAATGATCATCGAGCACTATATTTAAAACAAAGCATCCCCTTGTCCTCCAATCAGAACCTGAAATCTGAAAAAGCTCCTTGAAACATAGACATCTGTCTGTGCTCCAACTATACAACCATGCAGCAAGTGCCCCTTAAAGCAACAGTAAAATTTAAGTGAGTGGTGCATCTACTGTCAGTACAGCACTTTGAAAAAAACAAATAAATAAACCTAGCTCCAGGGAAGTCTGACTCCTCAGCTTGGTAGATCATTAAAGATAAAAAAACATTCTTTACCCCTGATTCCCTAGGCCCACTTGCCACCCAGTGGATAGGGAGGAACAAGGTGTTGTTATATTTTCAGTACCATGAAGTTTTCAAGATTATTGTTTTCATGTCAATTACTACAGTGAAGGCAGGCTCTTCCAGCAGTAACCTCCCAACAGGGGGAAAAAATCAGACTGGTAAAAAGAATTCTTCTAAATGACCTGCCTGGAAGAGTCCATCACTCAGTCCCTGAAGCTTCCTGAAGGCCCAGTGAGTAGCTGCTGTAACAATACAACCACTCACCTCAGCATACTGTGCTACTGAACTGGCTTCAACTGCATAGACTCTCCGAGCTCCGGCCTGCACAGCAAAAAACGACAGTATTCCTGATCCACAACCAACATCTAGAACAACCTGGAAGGAAAGGAGAAGAAAAAAAGGGGTGAGAACACAAATAGGAGGTTAGCTGTTGGCACTATGCCATCTCTGAGCACAGAGATCAGATTTACTTAAAGCACTAGCTTTGATTTTTGCAAGTGGTCTTACCGTGGCCAAGTTACGCATCTCTGGGAGACTCCTTTTTCTCATATGCTAAATGGGGTTAACAATATTCACTTTTTAAGGACTGCTGTAGGGATTAATAAGAAGTGTACACAAAGCACTTGGCACAGAATTGGTGTTTTTCAAATTGTTGCTATTACTACTAGTTTCTTTGTAACATGGATTGCTTTTAGGATGTTTAGGGCCAAGAAAAGTATGGTGTCATGAATGAATTTGCTTACCCTATCTGTCGGCATGAACAAAATGAAAACTATCTCAAATAATTTTTATAATATATATGTATATGTGTGTATATATTCAGAAAAAATTAAAGTCTTTTAAAATCCAAAAATGAGGTATGTACTTTTTTTCTAGGCCTCTCCACAAAGCTGGGGAGGTTTACATACAGGATAGGACGGTATTAAGGCAGTGGACAGAATTTACAGAAACTTTTCTTCTGTTCTCTGTGTTCAGCCCTGGGACTAAAGAGAAGCACCACTTGCTGGCACAAAGGGACCCACAGCACCTGCGCTTGCATTCTGAGAGGAAGCGGTGGACGGTATGGATTGGACCTCTTCCCCCAAACACTGCGGAAGCTAAGGTCTGAAGCTCAGTCTGAGCACTGAAATCTCACATTCCTGTATTGCTGTCTCATCGTTTTATTCTTAGCATCTTTTAGCACTAGCTTTGAGCAAGGCATTTTGCTTGGCTCTAAATCTTCATAATAAACATATGAGTTGGTAGCATTATTATGCCCACTAGTTAGATGACAAGAGACACTGAACGAGCTCAAGTTCATCCAGCAGTAAGAAGGGGAGATAAGAGTTGAATCTGGATATTTCTGCCTTCCAAGCTCATGTTCCACAGAATCACACACTGATGACTTACATTTATTTTTATGAATCTGACATTTTAACCCAGCAATACCAAGAAGCAACAACTGACAAAGAAACAAAGTATCACTTTTTGTAGGAAAATTTAGAACAGGTTTTTCCCACTGATAGGAGGATAATTTTTCCCAAAAACAGAAAACATCAGAGGTTGTGCATGCGTGTGTGTGTGTTTTGATTACAATCCCACACTGTGCTGACACAGATACGGTGCCATTGTTCTAAGAGAACATGCTGTTAGTAATGCGTTCACGCTGCTCACTTACATTAACTCCAGAGCTGCGGCTCTATTCCACATGGCTTCCTAAGGTTTGGGTAATTAGGAGCATTATCAATTTAAAATGTCACCCAGTCTCTGGAAGTTGCTGTCAGGATGTCTATCATTGTAGAAATACCACAATTCCCTTCTCCTCATACTCCCCAAGAAGCACATCATCTTCACCTGGTCCTTGTTTCTGGCAAGAACACTCACAACTGCTGTTAAGGGAGTGGAGACTGTAAAGCTGGAGACTGCAATCAATCCATAGCTCCCCTTCCCACCTAAATGCACTGCATCAGAGGAACATTTCCAGAGACTTCTTCAATTAAAAATATAACACCTGAGATTCTATGTTCAGTCCAAACTACGGATATGAAATTAAGACACACTAGAAATTGCACCTGCTTGCTCTGGTGACAGGTGGCCCAGAAATGCATGACGGGAACTCTTAGCCTCTTACTAGGATGCTATGAAGCACATCTTAGAGCAGTGTTTTTCAGTTCTCTTGATCCTGCAGACTAAAAACCAAAGAAATGTTTTACCACTAGGAGAGAGACAGGGAATGCGGAGAGAGAGAAAAAGAAAAAACAGGAGGGAGCCTGGTGTGGTCTCACTTTTTGCCAAATTATGCCTTTTGGAAGGAAGATGTTTTGATAGACCCGGACCCACCTGGAGAAGAGGTGAAAACTTATCACCTGAGGCAGTTTTCCAAATACTTTATTTCAATAACTCATTTCCAGCCAGACTAATTTTATTCACTTGGCTATTTCAAAACAGAGCATAGGCCTTGAAAAAGAACCTGACCTTTCGCAAGCATTATCCAGATAATGCCATCTGTTTCCCACTTATGTGTATGTTTAAAAAGTTAAGAAGAGAATTTTCAGTCTGGAGCTTGTAGAAGAGGGACATTCTGCCTTGTCTACGTAAGCCATGAAATGTTGGAAACAAAGCTGAGGAAGGCTGAGAATAAATTTTCTGGCGAAAAATGAACAGTCAAAGCAAATATTTAGGTTCTAATGGAAATATACTACCTCAGCCCTTTCTGGCTGGGGTTGTCCCGACTAGGAGAAGAGAGGACACTAAAGCAAATAATTCTGTTACACCTTCTTATCTGGCACCCCAGGAAGCCTTGGAGCTATTCCTAATCTCATTTTCTTGTCCTCACAGAGGATTACATTGAGCCTATTTTTCATTCTACCATTGACAGACCATTACAGAACTGGGGATGTCTGAGGACCCTGGCAGACATTAAGTTATACTTTCTTATCCTAGGGAAAAGTGTCTCCCCTTGGACAGAGGCAAAAGAGAGTAATAAGATCCCCTCCTACGTGTAAAGTAGCTTACTGTTTCTAAAGAATGCTCCCTGGACACTGTACATTTGATCCTCATGGCCCTCTGGAGTGGAGAGTACATAGTTATGTCCCTGTTTTATTGAGAAGGAAACAGGCTTGGACAGACTGTTTCCAGGCAAAGTAATGCAGCTGGTAAGTGGCAGTGCTGGATGAGCACCCAGTGCTCAGCTCTCTGCACCATCATGACCACCTTTGTGTGCAGGAAAAGATGAGAGGAGAGGGTGGACTGTGAAGACATATAAACTAGACCACATCACACTTGGGGCAGACACATCCCAAGGCTCCATGCACCAGGAGGAGAACCTGGTGTCTTTGGTGGGTTGTCTTTGGGCCTGAGCACTCCAGCAAGGACTGACTTTCCTGGCCTCTTTTTCTGTAATTCTCTTCCGTCCCCCGATCTAGGCTCCCTCGTGTGCAATCCCCTGTACTAGAGGCAGCTCACAGCCTACCTACCAAAGGTTCATGTTCTCTCAGAGACTTGCTGGGAAGCTGCTGCCCAGCCAGGATGACATTTCCCCGCCCCCCCCCCCTTGCAACTATATATGGCCATGTGACCAACTGTGTCCAGTGGAATGTGAGGGGGAGTGACAAGTATCATTTCTGGGCCAAGACGGTTAACTAGGGTAGCTTCTCCACACACACTCTCTGCTCCTTATGCAATGGCATTGGAAACCACCTACTGGAATTGAAAAGAGCCCGAATCTCTGGGTCACCACCTTAGGAAGAGTCACTCAGAACTCAATGGACATAGCATGAACAAGAGAATGAATCTCACTTTGTTAAACCACTGAGATTTAGGGATTATCTGTGTTAAGTAGGAGGCATATGCTGACCAATACATTGCCCTTGGGTGAATTTCCTCCTCTCACTTTTCTACCTGGGAAACTCAAGACCCAGCTCAGGGATCACATCTCAGGGGCACCTTCCCTGACTTTCCCAGACAGTCAGTCTAGGTTGGGCTCTCTGGCACTGGGTACACAGTTCTTCAATAGCACTTATTACAGGATACTGCAAATATTTCTTTACATGTTTTTCTTCCTGGCTTAGCCTATGAGCTCCCCAAAGACAAGAATCACATCACTTATTTCTTAGTACCTAGCAAAGTGGGAAACATAAAAGCTGTTCATAAATGTTTGCAGATTAAATGACTAACTGGGATAACTCAATATGGTAGTCACCCAATTTCAACATCACTGTGAGGGATATCTGGAAAAGCCTTATGACTTTTGCCAGCCATTTGGACTCTGGGAGTGTTCCTGCATCACAAAGCTAGCATCCAAAGAGGATGAGCTCAGGATATCCTGGCCTTATTCAAGGCTTATATCCTGAACTGTTTCACCCAACCTTACCTTCTGCTTCTTGGCTTTTTTCTTGGCCCCCAAGTCACCTCACACACCTGACACTTCATGCTCTGTCTCCTTGGCTATGATCCAAACACATCCCTTGGGTCACTCTTTTGCCTTTCAGAGGCAACCGTGGCGCAGGCCTTCTTGGAACGTTCCATGCTCCTTTCTGCTACTGGGCCTTAGCACATGCTGCTCCCTTTGCCTGGGGTGGTCCCCACTTTATGCACACTCTATGATAGTAGTCTATGGTAATTTTTTTTTTACCTACTCAAGGTCCATTCTGCTAGATCTTTATTTGTTCCTCTAGATCTATTCTCTACTCTTCTCCGTCCTGCTCTTTGTCAGGAGTCTGACCTATGTGTACAATGGGCTTCCTTACCATTAGACTCTGGTTGGGATCAGCCAAGAGAAGAGACAACAGGAGGTCTGAGGGAGTAAGGACAGTGAGGTCAGATGATTTATTCTCCTAGCTTCCTTCCTCCTGGGTCTCGTGGATTGGTTGTGCCCCCTCTACCAAAAGCCACAGCTCTTGCTGGGCTTCCATCTCTTAGGGTATGACTCTTCTCTCAGTTTCCAGTAATCCCCCCTCCCCTTCCCTCTTTAGGCCCAGAGTTGGTAACAGGTCCCCACTCTTGTTAGTGCCAGGGCACTTCACCATCCCGTCTTGGTTCCCTTAACTCTGCCCACATCTTCATAAATGGTCCTATTATTTAACTCTCCTAAAAGACCATGTTGGGTGTGTCTTCTCTCCTGCAGGAACCCTGGCTGATACACCAACTCATCCTTCAGATCTCAAACAGCTCTCCATCAGGGAAGACTTCCCTAACCTTTGCTTCCCTCCCAGGCTAAGTGAAGTCCTCTAGCTGTATGCCTTCTAATCATTACCTCCTCAAATCCTTCCTTCATAACACTCATCACAGTTACAATTTTTCATTCAATGAGGGGTTATTTGATTAATTTCTGCTTCCTCCCCTGGAATGTAAGCTTCATTAAGGGAGAGACCCCCATATTCCTCGCTCACTTCTGA